AAGCTGCTAGAGCATGCAGGTACGTAGTCTATTTGTATTCAGATAGCTAGAAATAGAAAAATAAAAGCCTCCCTATTTAGAACAGAATTCTCTAACTGAAAATTTGTTTCACCAGTTATTGCGTAAATCTACCAATAAAAGTGAGTAAACACATTTTTTAAGGCGATAATAATGGATGCTTATAGGTTATGAGAGAATTCATTAGTTAAATTATTAAGCATATTTTCATTTATTTTTCACATTATTGATCTTATATGAAAATACTCATTTACGAAAAAATTTGTACTAAAACTGTTTAGTTAAGTCAATGTTTCCAGATTCTTAAAAATTTTATTTTCTCATCTGCTACATCAAATCAAATCATTTATTGGTGTCTATACACTAAAATGTTTACACACGTCAGAGAAAGAAAAACACGAAAGATACAACATATAAGCAGTACTACACTAAAGATAAAAAACACATTCAGATAAATATAACGTAAACATCTTAAAAAAGTGAATATTACGAACATACATTAAATATCTAAAAACTGGTCAGCTAGGAACTCGTCAAAATTGTAAAACGCTTTTCTCTTAAGATATTTTCTAATTCTGGCCTTAAAACAGTCTGAATTTAGTGATCAAATCTTAGATGGAAGTCTATTAAATAATTTAATACAAAAATAATAATTCTATCTTAGACAAAATTTAGCTCTTAATTGTTCATATAGGTATATTCAAAATAAAATTATGAAGTCTCTCACTAAAAAGTAAGGCAAACTTAAAATGAGTGAAATTTAACATATTTGCCGTAATTGTTTAATTCATAAAATTGCAATTATTGCACACATTTTAAAAATTTCACTCGGTGCAATTTGGTGAGATTTTACTACTTCTTTACGTTCTAGGTATAAATTATTATTGTCAGTGATATTTTTGGATTCTACATAAAAACTGTGAAAACTTTTACAAATATCTATATAAATTATTCATAATTCCTACTTGGACATCTTATATCTGTCTGTGCATATAATTATATATTTAAAATTTTTTTTTAAATCTTATATTAATCTTTTATCTTCAACTGAAGTTTATTATTCTACGATTTTTAAATACCAACATATTCCGAGAATTGTTATTTAAGTATTCAAAGCGTACTAGTTCTCTGTTTAAATAAGTATCTATAATCTTACCCGCCTTTACCTGCATAAAGTTAAGAGCGGAAACGGAAAATCCATTGACTCAAGACTTAAGTAATAGGTAATGAGAATTCCTCCCGTTTATAACCACAAGAAAAAGATTCAGCTTGCGTTTTGTAATATTTTAAAGTGCTCTCGGTTTGCATTAGATTTTATTACCTGGGGAAAAGGACGGCACTTAAATAAGCTATATCGAAAGTTATAGTTCATGTATATGCTAAAATTATAAGATAATAGTGTGTCAGATGATTGGAACAAAGAATCTTGCAAAAACTTAACATAACATATAACACACTGTCCATCACATGACTGTATAAAACATAATATTAAACTCTGGAAACAAATAAGTAGGTAGGTACTAGAATTTTTGTCAGTGCAAAGGTGTTAGAAGATACAAAACATATTTTTCATATACCTAATTTACCAGAAATACACTTTTCTAATTTGTATAAATAGAATGGTGTCCATATTTTGCAACATACATAAATGTGATATATTATTACAGTTTGTTAGGAAAATAAGGAAGTTTCTTGTACCTCATAAATATAATAAATTATAAATTTTTAACTGCTACATGTTATAAGATTGACAAAAAACGAAACGTTTTATTAGATGAAGTAAAGCAACGTTCTTATATACCAGAAATCTGCGGGTGCAAAACGTATCCAATCTTCCAGACTAAAATCCCTTATATGTGCACTAGTCTAATACCTAATAAACTGCTGGTAATAATTATCCAAAATAAAATCTAAAAATGATATGTCAAAATATAATTAATATAGGAACATATAATATAATTGAATACTAGCCAACAGAGTAGTTGTTTCCTTCAATATCAGCAGTTAGAAGTTAGATACCATTAGAATACCTAGATTTCTGGTATCGAAGAACATTGTCGATTTCATTTGATAGGATTCTTCAAATAAAAAAATATATGTTTATAGGTTTATTAAGTTTATTTCATATTTTTCTAAAAATAAAAAATGAATTAGTACCTCCAACCAATACGGATTCAGGAACAGGCTTTCTACAATTTTGACCATATAGAGAGAAAGAGGGAATAGTCAACTTGATTATTACAATTCATACTTAGATATATTGAACAAAGACAATTTATGTATGTTTTCAATTTTTGGATTTCATACTAAAGCCATTCGATTGTTTGTAACATGAAGTTTTTGTAAATAAATTTCGTATATATGGTTTTGCAACTTAAAACTGTGATTTAGTTTCATCATCTATTTTACAAATAACACAACATGTAACACAAAAAAATTCTAGATCAACTTGTCCTGATCTGGTTCTAGAGTATCACAGGGAACTGTGCTTTAGCTTGTACTGGTCTATATTTAGGCTCAGTAAAACAAGGAATGGGATTGGATATTGGGGTGTTAAATGTTATGATTTTATTTCTATTAAATAAAACGTATCGCAGCATAGATAAATTTTTATACATATATTAGTACACCTTTCACTAAAGTAATTTTATACGTAACATTTCTTTTTACTGTTGTTTTTTATTGCACATTATTTTATTATCTTTTAATAATTCAAGATACTTATATATTTTATTTTACATTACATATTTTTTATTAGATATTTATTAGATATTATGAATATATTTTAGAATATTATTTGTAATTTCTTTATCACTTATTATTTTGTTCACTGTATTAACTGCTTTTGTAATTTAACACCAATAAATCAAACAAAAGAACGACAGTTTACATTCTGTAAATACATTTGTTATTAGAACTTCATTCATACTTTAGAACTGCATAGTATTTCCCATAAAATTATTTATATTATTTAATAATTAATTATTTAATAACATCTTTTATCATCATTTATATTATGAATATCTCAATGCAATTACCAAAGCTGATGCATTATTTAATGCAGATTTCGCTGATATTGCATTTTTATACATATATCTGCAGTGAAATAAAATGCACTATTACGATTTATGTTTTAAAGAACTCTACTCTATAAAAACGCGTTTCATTTAAGGGTAAGACGTTGTACTACATTATTTTTTCGTATTTTGACCACTATCTACCCTTAAAGTTTTTTGCACCATATTTGGCACTTTAAATTTAAGGAACTCAATAGAGACTGAATTATAAAAATGAACGCCAGTGAAAATATAAGTATTCTGACATTTCCCACTGTAGTATATAATCCTTTGTTACATTTTACACAGAACCTTGTACACATGCGGTCGTTTTGTGGGTCTGTGCCTTGCCATGTTTAAAAAACGGTTTGCCGGATTCTACCTGACTTAATCACGGAGTGCTCTTTATGTTAAAGCCTAAACTGTTCGAACTTAAATTGTGCCAAATTATAAACTAGGAAATTTGTGTTCCCTAACGTCCGTTTTAATGATAATATAATTCGTCCGCATCATTTTAATTGTAACGTCAAACTATTATTTCGTCTTTAAGGGTTCGACCCCGTAATTTTTTTAATAAAATGGGAATGCGCCCCTTGAAATAATTGGGAATTTAATTAGGTTAATGTCCGGTACGTAACAAATTCACCCTCCATAAATTTTTAATGGGCTAGAATTTAGTTTGACCGGATAGTAGCTCGATGTAGGCTGATATTATTTACTGTTTTCTCGAGAATCTAGAAATAAAAGAAATAAACAGGGACCCATTACCTTATTTACATTGTAACTTAAAAAAAAATCCATATGTATTTATAAAAATGTCTGAAATGTTTCTAGAATATGAACAAACAACCAAAAATTTGTCTTAATAAATTTTTGAGCATTAAAAAAAGGGAATGTTTCAATTTCGGGAAAGAGTTCCTTGTATGGTTACATTATGTTCCCAATATGGTTATACCCAACATTTTTTATCATTAATCTAAATCTGGTAACTAGATATATTTCATTGGTGTTTAAATTTGAAACTTTTAATTTTTATTTTTCTAAAAATCATGATGATTTGCATTTGCTTAACACAAAAAATTTAATGCGGACATAAAAATTATATAAATATTTTATAGAATAATTGCATTACATTTAGTCGATTAAAAATTGATCATATAAAAACTTCTGGCTACAAATAATAGAATTTTTGTCTGTTAGTATGAGACTAGGTATATATTAAACATTTTAAAATAATTTTTCCGAAACATATCTAAGTATTTACTTTGTATATTGCATAGAAAGTCCATATTTAGTGAAGGTACCTTATTAATTGACTTAAAATCAGTTACATTAAATTATTTTATTGTAATTATTTAAGAAAAAACCGGAGAAGATGTTCTACAGAGAAATGCTCGATTTTATTGATATTGTTGAAGTTCTTTGTTACAAAAAGTTAAAATTGCTTGCACCTTAGTATAGTTTAAGCTAATAAAACTTAAATTTAGCAGTAAAGTTTATCTTTACTAGTTGGATATTATGTTTTCTAAAATGTGTTATTTCTAAGTACTTGTTAAATTTAATCGGCGAAGCAAAAGTCAGCACTGTCGCAATAGTCAACTTTAAGTAAAATTTTCGTGTCGTGAATGGGACATCCTCGAGCCTAAACTCCCCCCAGAGAAGATATTATCACTGCATTAAAATTCCCAAAACTCATTTTCGCCCGTCCTTTTATATCGCCTAAAATCTGTGAGTGTAAGTAAAGCGGGCAAGTGAAAAATACAACTTACTCTTATACCGAAATTACATCGGAGTGCCGTCAGCTACCGCCCTCACTCCGGTGGCGGTTTTAGGAACTACGAAAGCGCTTGCGCGACTTCGCTTGTTTCTAAACTCTGTATATACCGCAGTAGCGCCCGAAGACCAGTTAGTAATACTTCGAACGTTGTTGAGCTAGTCCGCATCAGTCGAGCGCTCGAGCTCCAGTCACTTAACATGTACGTATCCGGCGCTCACTGTGATATGCCCCTAGTAAAAAGTTGAACGGAATCAAAGAGACTTTAATCGCGAGTTTACGCACTGTACGGGGACTTTAGTGAGATGACGTGCCGAAATTAGTGAAATCAGGAACTTGTCATGAAAATAAGTTTGAAGTGTGTGTTATAACGAAAGTTCCGCCACAATGTATACTCAGATAATCAGTACATTTCTCCTCTCATCGGTGCTCGTCGCCGCTCGATTCGACGGCCCAGAGCAATGTTCCTGGCTGCCGGACATCAGTGACACCACTTCGTCGAAATTGGCCGTTACCTGCAAAGTAAGAACGCTGGAAGAGACGGCGAACATCACCGCCCTACCCGCGGAAGTCACCTCGCGATTAAGGATAATTTGCAGTGACGTGTTGTTTTTCGAAAGTGCGCTTCCTACTCAGGGCCTGCACAGGTTGCACGAGCTCGAGGAACTCCAAATCAGCAACTGCAAGCTGCTGTCCATCCCCTCGGACGCCTTCGAGGGTCTCTACAATGTGAAGAAGCTGTCCATCAACACGTTCAACACCGACTGGGGTCCAGGTAAAAGCTTGGAGCTGACGAGTTATAGTTTGCAGGGCTTGAAGGAGCTTCAAGTCCTGGATATGGCAGACAATAATATTCGAGCTCTGCCCGACGGCGTATTCTGCTCCATGACCAACTTGCAGACGTTGAATTTGACGAGAAATCGCATAAGAAATTCTGAGAGAATTGGCATAAATGTACCGGAATGCAGCAACAGCGAGTTACAAAATCTCGATTTATCATACAATGATTTGCGCTCTTTGTCTGAGGACTCCGGTTTTTCACGTTTGAGACGTCTGCAAGTGCTCAACCTACACTACAACAACATAACTGAAATTTCGGGCGAGTCCTTAGCGGGCCTAGTGTCGCTGAAAATATTAAATATGGACAACAACAAAATAGGTACGTTGCCGCAAGGATTATTTGCTGGAACACCGGAGCTTAAGGAAATTCACCTCCAGAATAATTCCCTGTTCTCCCTGGCGAAAGGATTATTTCACCGGCTCGAGCAACTTCTAGTTTTAGATTTATCGGGTAATCAGCTTACAAGTAACCACATCGACGCTGGGACTTTCACCGGGCTTATCCGCTTAATTGTACTGAATTTGTCGCACAACGCCCTTACACGTATCGATGGCCGCACGTTCAAAGATCTCTTCTTTCTACAAATCCTCGACCTCAGAAACAACTCGATCGGATTTATCGAAGATAACGCTTTCCTACCCCTGTATAATTTGCACACCCTAAATCTCGCTGAAAACAGGCTGAACACGATCGGACCACAGCTATTCAACGGCTTGTATGTTCTGAGCAAACTCACTATAAATAATAATCTCATTGTGAATATTGACTCACGCGCTTTTCAAAATTGCTCCGCCCTTAAGGAATTAGATCTCAGCTCCAACGCCCTCGCAGAAGTGCCAGATGCGATCCAAGAACTTTCTTTCCTCAAAACTTTGGATCTGGGCGAAAATCAAATCTCCGAGTTTAGGAACGGCTCCTTTAAAAATTTAAATCAGCTAACTGGACTGAGATTAATTGACAATAATATTGGCAATTTGTCTCGCGGCATGCTTTGGGACCTGCCGAATTTGCAAGTGCTTAATCTGGCGAAAAATAAAATTCAGAGTATCGAGAGGGGCACTTTCGAAAGAAATACGCAAATAGAGGCAATTCGCCTCGACGAGAATTTTTTAACAGACATTAATGGAGTTTTCGCGACTCTCGCGACTTTGTTGTGGCTGAACTTATCCGAAAATCATTTAGTGTGGTTCGACTACGCGTTTATTCCGAGTAATTTGAAGTGGTTGGACATTCACGGGAACTTTATAGAACATTTAGGGAATTATTACAAAATCCAGGACGAGATTAGAGTGAAAACTTTAGATGCTAGTCATAATAGAATAACGGAAATCGCTCCCATGTCGATACCAAATAGTGTGGAACTGCTGTTTATAAACAACAATTTCATCAGATCCGTGCACCCGAATACGTTCCTAGATAAAACTAGTCTCGCTCGAGTAGACATGTACGCCAACGATTTAGTGAACCTGGACTTGAACGCGCTTCATATTTCTTCGGTGCCCTCAAACCGGTCGCTGCCAGAAGTCTACTTGGGTGGCAACCCCTTTCATTGCGACTGCACCATGGAATGGCTTCAGCTCATCAACAACATGTCTGCGTCTCGTCAATATCCCCGTGTCATGGACCTAGAAAACGTAATGTGCAAGATGACACACTCTCGCGGAATGACACACATGCCTCTGAGTCAGGCGAAACCCAGCGACTTCCTTTGCACCTACGAAACCCACTGCTTTGCCCTCTGCCACTGCTGCGACTTCGATGCCTGCGACTGTGAAATGACTTGCCCCAATAATTGCACTTGTTACCACGACCAGACGTGGAATACCAATGTCGTCGATTGCTCTGGACAAAATGCGGCAGAAATACCCCAGAGAATTCCTATGGACGCCACTGAGGTGTACCTAGACGGTAATGAAATAAAAGAGCTCCAAAATCACGTCTTTATTGGCCGTAAAAATATGCGAGTGTTATACGTTAATAATAGCGATGTAGAAACCATACAGAACAGCACTTTTAACGGCTTGCACGCTTTACAGATTTTACATTTAGAGGATAATAAAATTTACGAACTGAAAGGATACGAATTCGAGCATCTTTCTAATCTGAAAGAGTTATATCTGCAGAATAACGTCATTTCGAATGTAGGAAATAAAACCCTCGAGCCGCTGATATCGCTGGAAATTCTCAGATTGGACGGCAATAAATTAGTGACGTTCCCCGTGTGGCAGTTGTCGACCAACAGCCGCCTCACCGAAGTTATGCTGGGTAATAATCTGTGGTCCTGCCGCTGCAAATTCCTCCAGGGATTAACTGCATGGGTCGCCGACAACGCAGCCAAAGTGGTCGACAGCGCCGACATAATGTGCTACAACACGGACTCCAAGCCCCCACAGCGCCGCGAGCTGGACTTTAACAGCACCGCGTGCAGTGACTTCTACTCCGGCAGCTCCGTAATCTCCGTGTCGGACTACTGGCCGATGGTCGTGGTGACCTTATGTGTGGTAATCCTCTTGCTGTTAACTATAGTGCTCTGGTTCGTGTTCAGAGATCCCGTCCGGGTATGGCTCTATTCGCGCTACGGGGTGAGACTGTGCAGTTTCCGCGCCACGGCCGCGAAACAGTTCGAGGACAGAGACAAGCTTTATGACGGGTTCGTCTGTTACAGCCCCAAAGACGAGGAATGGGTGGTGCAGGCCCTGACCGCCGAGTTAGAGCCAAAATTTCAGCTGTGCTTACACTATAGAGACCTCCCCCATACCGCTTATATTCAACATGCCGCCCCCGCAGTTCTAGAGGCGGCCGAAGCAAGCCGCAGAGTGATATTAGTTTTAACCCGTAATTTCTTACAAACCGAGTGGTCGCGGTTCGAGTTGCGACAGGCGTTGCACGAAGCCTTGAAAGGTCGCGTGTTCAAACTAGTGATATTAGAAGAAGGGCCGATTCCAGAAGCAGAGCTGGATCCGGAGCTAAGACTGTATCTGAAAACCGCAGAACGCATGCGATGGGGCGAGAAAAGGTTCTGGGAAAAGTTGAAGTACGCTATGCCCTCGGTGGAGCCTCGCGGAAAGATCAACGCGAACTACAGGCGCAACATCAACAACTACACCATCGACTCCAGGGTGGTGCCCAACGGCACCCACCACAGCCACCACAGCTATCCCGAGAAGATGCGGACGCAGGGTCCCCCATCCCCGGGCATGCAGATGCTGCCGCCGCCCGCCTACTCGGCCGGCATGCCCCAGGAAGTCGACGACGCCAACTACTCCTCGGCGACGACGGCCACCCCCTCCCCCAGGCCCTCGCGGCGCGTCCAGGAACCGAGGCCGGTGTCCGACCACATCTACTCCAGCATCGACTCGGACTACAGCACCCTGGAGAGGGGTGGCTCCGGTAGAAGGGGCCCTCCATGGCGGCCCCAGCACGTGATGATGCAGACTGCAGGCGGCAACAACGGCGGCCAGGCCTACCTTGTGTGATAACTCGATATGACTGACTAGGTATATTTTACTGAAAGACTTAAACAATATTAAATATTCAAGTAAGTCTCGAAACGTGTAATTATATTTTATTTGTATAATTTTTGTACATTATTGTATATAGATATATTTATTTGTTTCTCTTATTTTGTATTAATATGTGTATATTTTTTACGAATTGCAAAAAACGAATTATATAATAAATACGATGTGAAATTTGATATGTGCGTTTTAAATTCCATCCCGGTATAGTGTTTTCCATCTGAAAGAAACATTTTGGGTAAGTGCTTTTTTAGTCACAATAAAATAGTAAAATATTATATTGGCAAAATGTAAACAAAAATTATTTCAAGACAAATACTTTTTTAAATAATGGTATATTGCTAATTAAAATACTATTTTTCATTCAAGTGTGTTACTGATCTTAAAAATTCACAAACTCATAAATAATAAAACATTCTTTTATATCAACTATGTTTTAAGGTTCATTAAATTTCTTATTAAAGTTAAGAATATTTCACATTTAAAAATTACGTATTAGAAACTTAACATTTGACCAATTAGTGATGATTTCATCTGGTGATAGAAAATAATTTAAATTAAAAAAATGGGTAAAATACACTAAAAAAATTAAATAAGTGTTTTCAAAGTATTTATTTGTATAAGTATCGGGAAACAAAACGCTTTGGTAGAAAACTTGTAACAAACTTAATCTCTAAAAAAATGTTTGTTTCTAACAAAGAAAGTTTCCTCTTTCTTAAAGACAATTAATTTTTTTAATAAAGTAAGTTGTATCGATATTATATTTCACCGATTTTGATAATTATCCATTAAAACTTTTCAATTTAGACATGATTATTTGCGATTGATAGTCTCTTTAATTTTGTTTATCTGTAATGAAATGAAAACCTTGTTTAAATTACGAAATACAATAAATATATACTTGTATAGACGTATGCTGCGTCAGATATGCGGATATTTTATTCAAACATATAATAAATATCTGTAAAACATGGACAATTATTACTCTTGATTATTATTATCAATTAAATTAAGTTGTATAATTCAACACAGAAATTTTTGTGTAATTAATTACGATTAATCGTCGTTATTACAAAATAGAAATTGTAAAAAAATACCATGTTTTACTTATTATTTTGGAAGTCATTTGTAGAGTAATAGCTATGTTATCAACACCTACCTACAGAAACAAATAAAGTTAATATATTTTATAAAAACATTGATTTCTAATGCATTAATATTTTCTCGAATATTCATTTTTAATAACATTTTATAGAATGTTTGTTAACATGACTTTCAATTTTCATCATGTAAATAATCATTATGTATAAATAATGTTAAAACAATGTCTATATGTATGTAACATATAAGAATATAAACTACGAGATCTAAATTTGAAAATAAATATCAATATCTACAAAATGTCGAGAAAGTCTGACTTCACAAAATGGTAATATCTTCGTAATGTATGTGACTTCGACTTAAAATTTATCAAATAAATATATGCCGGTACAGCATCACTTAAAATAAATTGAGAGTATTACCGGTCCATTAAGTATTGTGGACTTTCTAATTATAGGTTTATTATTTTAAGGATTTGTTAAAATAATTTTTTTATTAATATATTACTGCAATAATTTAGCAACTATATTTAAAATCGGTTAAAATAGCTTGTATAATATTCAACGGAGTCAGTACAAATGTTCAAAGATGGTGCTAGCTGTACATTTAAATATAGAAATAGTAATTAGTATACAATAACAAATATGTACTGACTACGACAACGTCCTTGCTCGAGAGCTCCTGATGTCTTTAAGAAAATGTGATGTCAGACACCTGTATATCTAATATTTATATAACAGTATTACCACGCATAGCAGAAACCACAGTATTAATATTCCTAGCTAAAGAAATAACTGGTAAGTGAAATTTGCAAATAACTTATCTAACAATGGAAACTAGAACAGCGCATAAATTATTTATTTTTTTATAACTAATTTAAATTGAATTGAAAACCGCAAATACATTACAAAGACTTTTTGTGGAATGTCGATAATTTTTCGTATTTGAAAGTGTTAACAATCTTTTATTGTTTTATAACAGAAACGTCGTTTAACATTAAAAACAAGTGTTGATTCGCCGTATACATAAAAAAACTGTGATGGTAATGGAATTTCTTTCCAACTTTACTAAGAACTTGACGGTAATCTGTAATTAATAGTTTCTTGTAATTAAAGACTAAAGGAGCAAAGAATAATAATTAACAAAGGTGTTTGGGTATGGGGTGCTGTATCATTAGTTCCTAAATATATATAAGGGCGAATACTCATTACTTTTAGTTATTATTTACCTGGCTTAATTAACACTCGTTAGAAAACAGTATTTACGATTGAAAATGTTAATATTAAAATGGCTAGAACGAAATATTTAAGATTATTTTAAAAACAATTATACTTAACATTTGTTATACATGTATTGTTTTTCTTAATTCGATTCATAATTTGCTAAAAATTTCAATTTATAATAAATTAGAGAGTCCGAGAACTTGTCAATGGAAATAATTTTTCGATCCAGTAAAAGTTGTTGCTAAAGTTCTTCGATAACGTCAATTCAAAGTTCAAGTAGATTTTTTTCAAAGTAAATCGTAGTTGGTGCTAGTGTAAAAAGATTCTAACTTGTGTGCTATAAATATGTTTCGAAAATTCAAGAGTTGCTGAGATATACAGGGTGATTCACAACTTATTCAATGGGAATAGATGCATTATGAGAAACGGAGTCAATATCGTAAAAATATTTTTGTAAATCCTTATAGTTACATAGAAAAAAATTATTGAAGTTGTAGTACATTCAACCATTACCCACATAGCTGGATAACTGTAGTCTTTAGCGTCATTCGCAATAAGCGTGGAGAGCCACGTGGCCTCAGCGACTCCGAACACTGAAATCCGATTTTACAATCGTCGTTGCGATAGTGTTTACAATAGTTTTTTTAGTAGTTAGTGTCAAAAATGGCTTGCGTGTATAGCAACTCGGAGTTGATGGATATCGTTTTAATTTATGGTGAAGCAAAACAACATTTGTGTTAATTCGTAGAAACTGGGTAAGACGGGCCCAAATGTGTTTACACGTCGGTGGACAAAATTTTGATCCGTTGTTGTAACATCAGGTAGGTATGTCAAATTATTTTATTATTTAAAACCACAAATTACCAAATTTTTTTTTCTGGATATGTTCTGTATGATTAACTTAATAATACTCGAAACTCCTAATAATTTTAGATACTGAAATTGAATTGAGTTACTGCTCCAAATAATAAAACTTAAATATATTCTACAGTGTAACTTGAAAGACTGAGGTTAGACAAAAAATTTATATTAATGAAAACTAGATTTATAACTTTAGTCAAAATATAAAGCTTTATTATTCAAATATATCAAGATAGTCTATTATAAGTAAGTGCTAATGAAGAAAATATATGTAACTTACGGAGAATGCATGCAAAATATTAGAGCAACAGAAAGAGTGTATATAAATTTTGACTTAACGGCTGAACTTAATTGCAATTAATGATCATTGAAAAAGTTTTACAGTACAAAATAACAAAACTGGGATGTTTTCAAATACTATTTATAGTTGTTAATTCTTCATTTTTTCATACTTTCTCATACGATTCAAATCAAATTGTTATCAATCGTTTTGTTGAAAAGTAAAAAGGTTTAATAGGCTTAAATTTCAATTTCGTTGTGCCACTAAAACCTTAAAATGCTTCTTAAAAATGATTTTAATTCTTCTCTAAAAAATTTAAATTAAATTTGTTAGTTCGAGATCTAATCCATTTTTCAGAATTTGAACTACCTTTTATTTCGGCAACTGACATCTCAAAAACTATTAAATATTTGAAATTGCCGAAAATTTTATGATAATCCCAAAACTACAGTTTCTTTCAAGGTCACCGCCAAAACTTGCTTTCAAAAAATTTACTTTACTACAGAATCAAAAAATATTTTCTCGTTATCAAGTTATCGACGAGGAGAATTTTATTTGAATCACCCTATATACTATATATATCACATCTAGTTCCCTTAAATGGATAAAAAATTATTTGAGTAATACGTATGTATCACAGAACAAAAGTTAACGATGACTATTAGCAAAACTTAAAAGCATATACGGGGTATCACAGGGACGAGTCCTGGTCCCGTTTCTGTTTGTTGTGTGTATTAATGACATAAGTAATGTTTTGAAAATATGTATTTGTTGACGACACATTAATTTCAAAGTGTGTTGATAATATTCCAGACGTAACAAATATTTTAAAAAGTTCGACATTCTTTATAAATGGTTCTGTGCTAATAAACTTGAATTAAATTCTTCTAAAACAAAATGCATGGTAATATTATTTAAAGGTACGTGTAACAAGTATCAAAACGGCCACATAAATGTATTAGTTAAAATTGGTATAAAAAAAATAAAACATTTAGGAAGTATTTTAGATTATCACCTGTCTTTTTCTGACCTTATATATTGTCTTTGTAAGAAAATTGGTAAAAATATTCACTTTTTTCGACATTATCATATAATTTGTCTCTGTGGAATAAAATTTTAATTCATAATTAATTATAATTATCGCAAAAAAACGAGATACAGAAGTTGCAGTTGTTACAAAATAAAATTACGATAATTTACGTTCATTTAATTATATGCGAAAATGCAGCAATCGATTTACATTGAACAAGAGCTTGTTCATTCTTACAACGTGAGAACAAAATATAGTTTTAGTATTAATTTTGTTAGACCAGATAAGTTGCAAAAGGAACTACAAGAAGTATAATGTAGAGAAATTTTCCACAGCTGTTACAAAATTGTATCCTTATAGTGTAAGTCTATTTTCAAGTCATTTTTATTTGTTTTTAATGTTATTTTCTCTCACCACATGTAGTGTATATTGTATGTGTTTATATAAAAAAAAATAATAAACTAATATACTACTAATTATGAAGTATGATACTATAACATACTAACAACTAACGAACTGTTAGAGAGAGAGGTCTTTAGATACGAGATAAATTCAAAATGTGATTAAATACGGTTTTCATA